TCTCCCCTCCCTCTCTCTCTCTCTCTCTCACACACACACACACACACACACAATGTGAAAAAGAAAAAAACCAGGGATCAGTTGTAAGGCTATAACTGCAGCTTCTGGATCTCTTAAATTCTACCTTAGCACAGGGCTATCTTCACGCATGGGCCTGATGGGCACTTGCCCCTTGGGTCCCATGAGCATAGGGGCCCCATACGAATCTGTGTATTTTAATCCTTCAATGCACCTTGTATCATATAAATACAGCAACATATTTATTACATATTTATTTGTTGGAAGTGCCAATAAAATAAATACATGTTTAATTTTATTGAACCATTTACATTTTTATTCCTGTGAGTAGTTGTCGTAGGGGCCCCAATACACTGCTTTGCCCGGGGCCCATAATGCTGTTAAGATAGCCCTGGCCTTAGCACAACAGCTTTGTAAAATTGGCTCTTATTTACTCTTAAGTCTCTAAAACAACAGGAGGTTGTTTTAAAAACCTAGCAACCACCTTTTCCATATGTTATTATACTATAACCAATTTCATCTTTGCTGAAAAGGTGAACTGATTTATTAGTCCACAAATGTTTAGTGCCAACTTTTTTCCATTAAAGTGCAGTGGAATGAAATAGAAAGCAATTCACATATCAGTGTTCAGCAAGGGATGATGAACTAATTAGGGGATATATGACTTTCTCCAGTCTGACAGCAGAGTGGTCCTTTAAGTGACGAGGAAGCGAACAGGGACAAAACTAAATCTGATTTAACTGACATTATATATGGCTACAAATTCTGGAAGACTTCTTTACATCATAATTTCCACCCCTGCTTTTCCTTTATTGATCTGCTTGTCAATTCCGAGGTTTGCGGGTCTTTTATTTCTCTTGCATATATTTGAACTTCTCCTTGGTTGATAAGGATAACAAAATTAAAAAAAATAACTAAATCCAGTTAACATGATAATTCCACATGGATTCCAGTAGCTCCCCCTTTTAATCACGTTAAAAATGAAAAATTGTCACATGAAGATGAACTATTGATTACGGAGGCAACGGGTAATCCTGATTGAGCGTCGCTGAACTAGGACAATATTCCTGTTTGCTAATATGAAGATCCAGTCAGGGTAGATCAAAGTCTCCTAAAACTAGATTGGCTCAAAATGACATATGGTGATTCTCCTTCTCTTCTTTCTCCTCCTCCTCCTCTTTCTCCTTCTTCTCCTCTTTCTCTGTCTTGTTCTCTTCCTCCTCCTCCTCTTTCTTCTCTTTCTCTTTCTCCTTCTCCGTCTTCTCTTTCTCCTTCTCCTCTTTCTCTTTCTGCTCCTCCTCATCCTCTTTCACCTTCTCTCTTTCTCCTCCTTCTTCTCTTTCTCTCTGCTCCTCCTCCTCTTTCTCCTTCTCTTTCTCTTTCTGCTGCTCCTCCTCTTCCTCCTACTCTTTCTTCTCTTTCTCCTTCTCCTTCTCTTTCTCCTTCTTCTCCTCTTTCTCTTTCTGCTCCTCCTCCTCCTCTTTCACCTTCTCTCTTTCTCCTCCTCTTTCTCCTTCGCTTTCTCTTTCTGCTCCTCCTCCTCCTCTTTCACCTTCTCCTCTCTTTCTCCTACTCCTCTTTCTCCTTCTTCTCTTTCTCTTTCTGCTGCTCCTCCTCTTCCTTCTCTTCCTCCTTCTTCTCTTCCTCCTCTTCCTTCTCCTCCTCTCTTTCTCCTCCTCTTTTTCTTTCTCCTTCTTTTTCTCCTCCTCCTCCTCCTCCTCCTCCTCCTCCTCCTCCTCCTCCTCC